TTTTTTTTTTCTTTTTTTTCCAATATTTTTGGCATTCAGTGAGAGCTATTTAACAATATCTGTTCAACAAGGGCTCCACTCCCACCAGTCACTGCAGACTGCAAGGGAATTGATTGTTATATTTCTTTTGAGGTCGTTATGAGCTTTCATGGGGCCAAGACCATCTTTTTCTGCCTAAAACCGCACCATTTTCCTCATTCTTCCACTTCTTCGAGGGTTCATTTTCAGGGAAAACGTTATTTTGTCATCACATTCTTTAATTTGCAGCAACATGGAAGATTTAACTTGTGATAGTCTCTTAATAATATATTTACATTCCAATATCTAGATGTGGATTCCTGGGTCCCTGCAACAATAATTCCAGAGTTTTGTAGGGACTGCAACATGTCAACTATGATGCTTCAAAGTCATGCCACAGTTTCATGTCTTCGTTGAATTGAAAACCTGTTTACGTGCATCTCAAAGGGGGCAATCATAATAAATATTCTAGTGGATGTGGTTCACATTGCTCACTGCAACAAATTTCACAATTTGCAGTGAATTTTTATGTGACACACTAATTTTCATTGCAAAGATTACACTTAATATGACAAAAATTTTAATTCAGTCACTAATCCTTACTGTACAGATATCTACCATTGGTTGATTTCTTACTCTTGCCTATATTCCCTATTGAAAATCTTAATATTGATTTCTTACAATTGTCCTTTCTACTCTAGTTCAAGCTGTTATTAACAAAGTTGGATATTAGGACCTTTAGTGTGCAATAAAACATTCTCTCTCGTTAACAAAGTTCAAAGTGTTATAAATTTATATTTCTAATTCAAAAAACACACGTATTAGATGAAAGAAGATTTTTATTTATAAATTTAAAACTCATTATATCTCTTATTAATGTAAGATTTATGATACAAGAATGTAGCGAGATGACCGGAAATGCCTTATCAATGTTTGATTCCTTGGGTTATGCTCCAAGTTACAATATGCTAGTTCCCTATTGAGCAATTGGAAGGGCAATGCCATCTCAAAAGCAGTAGATGTTCAGTGCAAACGGTCCAAGAGAGCCAAACTGGAATGCTTGGAGACAAAAGGTGTACTCCTTAGTAGTTGCACCGAACATATCTGCAGAGTGGGCTCATCAGACTCTACAAGCCTGTGGATAGCTTTAGACTTGATTTAAACTTTATGGGCCTTCTGGATCTGCCTCAGTCTCTTCAGTGGGCTGAGTTGGAATGGTTGGGCCTGTAGGTTGCACCCTTTTTCTCTCTTTATTTTGTAGCCATGGATAGGATTTAGTCCCAAAGGTATTATCCACACCACCAAACACTAATTGTCTTATTCCAAACAGATTGCCGATTGAGTGCTAATTCAGCTCGAAACTTATTTTCTTCATCCCCCTCATGCTAACAACCTTTTGCGAGGAAGGATGTAAAAAATGTTTTAATTCAAAGCTTGAAGATTAAAACAATCAATACATAAGGATAAGAATGAAACAACTAAAGAGTAATAAAAATATCGAAAATCAATTATTAAGTCATCTTTTCCATAACTAATAAATAGATAATGTAAATATAATCACATAAATAAATTATTATGAAAATTTGATAATTACATTTCATATTTGCTATGGGATTATCTCTCTCTTCAAAAATATATTTGAAGTTCATTGTTTTGTTGAGGAGCCGACTTTAACACATTTTTTTAAGGTACAAGACAAGTGCTAGAAGTCCTAGCTTTGCAAGTGATCTTTCATGTTGCAATTAAGGAGTTTGACACCGGTGCCATTTATATTGGAAAATGTTGAATACCATATCCTTGAAAAGAGAACAAAGAAGCACTGTCCTCCTCAAGAAATGGAAACTGTTTTCCCAAGTTTTTCTCACTATCTGCTGTCTTTGAAGCCAACAGGCACCTTCACCCTGAAGGTTGGATTCTGTAGCAACCTGGCCTCCACCCCATTTTTGGCAGGATCAAGGTCTAGGAGCTGTTGCAGAAACATCAAATTAGAAAGCAGCTTCATTTCGGTTCTAAAACCAGTTTAAAAACGTTTTTATACTCTAATTCTTGACTTGATTTTGAACCAAACCTCTACACTTCATTGCCGATGTCAGAAGTACAACACAAAAATGGAATCCATTTTCATTGTAGACCCAACCCACCAAATCTGCAACAACAATCCTGCAATGGAGCCATCAACAAGAAGCAGGCAGAGACAATTAGTGGAGCCCAACAAAGGCAGCACCAACCAAAAGACACAAATCAAATCTCAAAGTTAACCTGTCTGATTTTTCAACACTTCTTCATCGACTGCCCTACAGTATATGTATCCCATACTCGTGACTCACCATCCTCCATAAATCCAGAATCCCATTTGGTCATGATTGAATAGGATCTTAATCATATGGGATCACTTTTTTGTTTAAATTTTACTTCAACATTAGTATTATATGAACAATAGTAAGTTATTGAAAGATTATAAATGATCAATTTTTAATAAAATATGGTATCTTGATTTAGTAACGGATAGCAAACTTTATAAGAGTAACGGATAAAAATGTCTGCAATAATTTCTAGCCTCGGTAATTGATTAAAGACTAGTTAGTGGGGACGCTATTTTTTAAGCATTTGAAACAACCATTTTAAGTTATTGACCAATCACTTCCAAGTTTGTTACCGTGTCACGTCTTCACTGGACATTCAATGACATGGTCTGCACCAGATTGGGTCTCCCATCTCTCACTTAAAAATCTATTTTAAAATTTAATTTTTTTTCTCAAGTAATGACAAAATAAATCAGAAAAACAATATAGGAGTCCTTGGCTCCTGAGTTAGGTTCTATCATTTCTATGCCAGGTTTTACTTCTCTGACTTCTTGCAAAGCTTTTTCCTCACCAAGCAAATAAGCCAAATAAATCCTTTGAATCCAAGGTAACCCATCTCAATAGTCTCCAAGATTCAAGCTTTTCTATGTTTTATTTTATAGTCCCATTGATTTAAACTCAATGCTTCCATTATTTCTTCGAATCATTGTTATCATTTTACAAGATTATCATGCCTGGATCTGGTTAGAAAGTTGGGTTTTTTTTATCTTAAGTACAGTGCTGGTATCGTTCAGTTATTTATTGTATTAATTTGGTTTTCGGGTTTGTTGTTTGGTACTTAAATTCATTGTTTTCAGCTTGAAAGGTAGGATCTTTGGGTGCAAAATATATATATTTTTTTGCATTTGGGCATTCAGCTTGGTTTTTAGATAAGAAACAGCAGTGGTTTGTTTAGGGTTTCGAGAATTAATAGCTATGGATGGTTTTGAGGAATTATCTGCCTGGTACTTGAATTCATTGTGAAAGCTAGGATCTTTGGGTGTTAAGCTTGGCTTTTAGATAAACACAACATTGGGTTTCTTAGAGTTTTGAGGATTAATAGCTATGGATGCTGTGGGGGAATCATCTGAAGTATCCAGTTCCCAGTTGATGAAAAATGGGACTTTTCGTGATGAGGAGAGTTGTCCTAAACAAGTATCACCCATTAGGGGTGGTGGGTCAAGGAATACAAGCCCTTTGGGTCGTGTAGGGTCAAGGAACACTAGCCCCTCTAGGCAGAAGGTGATAAAAACCAAACCACGGGGTTTAGATGAGGAAACAGTTGCTACATTCGGTAAGGCGGTTCATCCTGATGTTCAAATGGAAGATAACATATGGGCAATGTTGCCTGAGGACTTATTGAATGAGATTTTGGCAAGGGTTCCTCCATTTATGATATTTCGGCTTCGTTCAGTTTGTAAAAGATGGAACTCAATACTTCAAGATAATAGTTTTCTTAAGTTTCACTCACAAGTGCCATCTCACGGGCCTTGTCTACTTACATTTTGGAAGAACTCACAGACTCCACAATGTTCTGTATTTAGCTTGCCTTTAAAAACATGGTATAGAATACCATTCAATTTTTTGCCTCAGTGGGCCTTCTGGTTGGTTGGCTCTTCAGGCGGTCTAGTTTGCTTTTCTGGACTTGATGGTCTAACTTTCAAAACTTTAGTATGTAATCCTCTTACACAAACTTGGAGAACATTGCCAAGCATGAACTATAACCAGCAAAGACAGTTGATTATGGTTGTGGATCGAACAGAAAAATCGTTTAAAGTTATAGCCACTAGTGATATTTATGGTGATAAGTCGCTGCCTACTGAAGTCTATGATTCGAAGATTGATAAGTGGACAGTCCACCAGATAATGCCTGCAGTTAATCTTTGCTCCTCAAAGATGGCATATTGTGACTCCAGGTTGTATTTGGAAACCCTTTCACCACTTGGCTTGATGATGTATCGGCTGGACTCAGGATATTGGGAGCATATCCCAGCAAAGTTCCCAAGATCTTTGTTGGATGGCTATTTGGTTGCTGGGACACAGAAGCGCCTGTTTCTGGTTGGAAGAATCGGTCTTTATAGTACCCTACAGAGTATGAGAATTTGGGAATTGGATCATGGTAAGATTATGTGGGTGGAGATAAGTAGAATGCCACCAAAGTATTTTCGAGCTTTGTTGAGGCTATCAGCTGAGAGGTTTGAGTGCTTTGGACAGGATAATCTTATATGCTTCACATCTTGGAACCAAGGGAAGGGCCTCCTTTATGATGTGGATAAGAAGGTTTGGTCTTGGATTGCTGGCTGTGCTCTTCAGTCATACAATAGTCAGGTTTGCTTCTATGAGCCAAGATTTGATGCCTCTGTCCACTGCGCTGGAAAATTTGCCTCAAGAGATTTGTGGTCATGAGCTGTTGAGAGATCAACATGTGGCAACAAAGTCCTCTTTCTTTGAAAGCAAGGAATGATTTCTTCTTTTACACCATCCTTTTTCCCCCATCCTGCACATATTTGACTGGAGTTACTCCTCACTTGTTGGGGGATTAAGCATTAAATGGTCCTTGCTACTGCATTAGCATCTTGGGCATATCCCTTTGAAGCTGTTTCTAACACCAAGATTTTTTAGGCAATTGGTGATATCATTCTATACTGGGACTCGATGATGCACATTTACACCGGGCAGAGTTGTATTTTGATGACTAAATGAGGGCTGGGCTTCTTGCGTGTATATCATAAGACTGGCTTTTGGGCAAGAACTGTAAGAAATTTTTTTGCAGTAGCCTTTTTACACTTAACATTTGGCACATAGGAAGTTTCATTTCATAATGTTATTTTACTTTCCTTGCCTGTTGGATAATATCCTGATGGCTGATTTATGTGATTTTGCTGTCTTCATCACAGCTTGTATAGACTGTACTATCTATGTTGTTAACTCTTTGATTTTTCTACAATGATATTGTCCCTCTTATTGGTTTGGGAATTCTTCTTGATGCTCTTTACTTTTCTTTCCTTAAATAAATCTAATAAGGCTGTTTGAATTCTGTATAGAGGTCACATGCTATAAAAATGCCACAATTGTAGTAATAATGAAATATTGTTTTTTCATGCTCTTTCAAAATGATTTGGAGCATCCTTGGATTATTCTGGAAGTTGTACAATCACTGTTTCTCATAAAAAAAATGGTGAACCACTTGAATTTGGGTATGGTCTGCGAAGAGTTAATCCAATCTGGTGCTTACTATTATCTGACACCATATAATTGTATGTTAGTTTTGCAGCTCCAAGATGACTCAACATTGTGCTTTATCCCTTTCCATTAACCTTCATATCGAGAAAGCTTTGCCAAAACCTTCTAGAACATTCAGCCTAGCAATTTTTTAAGAGTTTTATCTTTGACTAACTGGAAATGTTAAGGTGTTGTTCCCCTGATAAATGTTTGGAGAATTTGTTCTGTATGTTTTCTAGAGCAAAGTGTCTTTTAATAAGTTCTATAGTTACAATGTGGAAGAAGTAATCTGACTAAAATCTTTTGTAGTTTTTGGGAATCGCATGTAAAGATATTTTAACTGGTACTGCTTCTGTTCTTTCTGATAACTAGTCTGCCTTGTTAGCTTTTGTTTTATAGCAAGGGTTAATTTTCATCTGGCTTCTTGCTTGCTGTCAGCCTTTTCTCACACTTAAGTGATCTATTTCATTTTTAAAGACTTACAGTAAGAAAATGCTTTATCATGTCAACAAGAGTAATTAATTCATTTTAGCGAGTCAAGATTTGGTTTTGGCGAGGCTGAAGTAGTAATAGACTTTTGGTAGTGATAAAATTTGGCCACAGAGCAGTCTTCAGTAGCATCACCAAGAAGGAAAAAACTGAAACTATATATACTTTGACAGTCTGTGTAATTTTTCTGTAGATTGAAGGTTGCCAACTAGTATATGCTCATAGCATTCGTCTGGTTTCTATTGGTGAAGCAGTTTCATCTACAACTACATTGACCAATTGGGTTGAATGAATAATGTATTGATTTCTTTTCAGCATGGTTGCTGCAGAGGAAGGTAGGTAAGATTCCCTTCATACCTCCTATGTAAGACAACAAATGTTGGATTGCAAGTGAGAATGAAATTTTGAATCTGGTGCTAGAGTGGCTGTATTGAGTATTTGCTGACAACAGTTGCCATCGACCAGTGACAGGTTATGGGCTAAATAAATCACAGAAGGTTGCTAATTGTTATATCCAGCTCCTGGGGAATACATATTTGGAATTTCTATCATTATGGAAAGTTATATTCAGATTGGATGATTAGTTAACGATGCTTCTAACTTGAGAACATTTTTCTTTTTGGAGAGAACTGTTGTCTGTTGTAATAGGATAATGATTGCTTTGCTGGTGGGCAACTACCAAAGCCCCGTTGTTGCTGCTGTGAATCGAACATTTTTTTGAATAATAGTGAGGAACATTTTACTGAGGATTGTGGTTGAACTATATCTAGAAGGATTTTGTCTGACCATGTGAAAGGATAGGTATTTGATTCAAAGAAGCTGATAGGTTTCTTTTTGGTTACAAACCAATAGGTTCTCATTAATCAGAATGTCAGTGAGCTGAATGAGATGGCTAATGTACCTAGTTGGTCTGCTTAGCTTCTGTTGCTGCTTTTACCATTAGATAGAGACTAGGATGCAGCTCTGAAGTGTTCTCACTCCAACTTTTGGACTTGTGGGGTTGAACATTTTTTAAAGTACTAGAACTAAATGATTCTGTTGTGGCTTCTGTTTATTTGCTATACCTCATTTTGAAACATCTTTGGACTTTTAGGACTATGATTGTTGTAAAGCTAGTCTTGGCTATTAAACATTCTGATTTCAGGCATGCTGGCATTAAATGTACGTGTTGAAGGATTCACCTGAGAAGTAGTGGAAATATGAAACAGATATTCTATAGAATTTCGAGAGGACTCCATAAACCATTGATCATCCTCTCTCCTCTTTCCCAGTGCTTTCAAGATTTCAATCCTTTTCTCCTTTCTATTTATCTCTATAGAAGTTACTAATGGAGTTAGTGGGTGAACTTGATAAACAATCTGCTAGCAATTATGCAGTCCATGCCTTTGAAGACACCCCAAAAAGAATTACTTGTCATCAAATTCAGGTTAATGTTTGCTTGACTTTCCGTTCTGTGTTTTCATTCTGCTGTTGTTGTGGGGCATCCATTAACTACCTCGTTATAGCTGTTATAAAGCAACTGCACACCTAGAGCAACAACAAAAGAACTAAGCATGTTTCCGAAAAGGTTAAATGCACGCCTGTTTGGGAATGAAAAAAAAATAAAAAAGAAAGAAAAAGAAAACAGGGAAAAAGGGCTTGGGTTTCATCCAGTAATTGTAGTAGGCTAAAACATAGTGTACAACTTTATGTAACATACTTGATTGTTAAGTGGTTGGGGAGGGATCGAGGTAAAGACAGAACAGAATTAGGTTTTTCTTTCTTGTCAACTTGGGGGATTTTCTACCCCAAAAAAGCAAGTAAAACTGTGGAAAATGAGATATTAAGAATCTTTGATAAAAAAAAGTTAGGGAGATAGGAGAGGGAAAAAGCTGCATGACTCCTTCAAGATGACAGTATTTGGCAGGTCTTACCATGCTAGAAAACAGGGGAAAATAGAAAAAAAGTTAATTAAAGAAAATCTCAAACTGTGACAAACTTGAAACGGATCAAAAGAAATGGTGAAAATTGCTCTTCCACTTATATTATAATGGTAAAAGCAACAAGTTTATATAAACAAAAGCCGATGATTTTGAAAAAATCATTACCCTATGGCAGGGTAAGGTTCAAACTAATTGCTTCCCACCACGAAGGTTGGAAGGTGGTGGTAGGTGAATGTTGGTTTATTTTTATCATAATATATATGGATTATATATAATATAATATTGGAAAAATGCAGCTGGTAAAGCATTGGTTGATGTTTGAACGTAATTTCCCTGAAATGACAAGAAACAGTTCATCATGTGAAAGGGTTACTGCTTTCAAGTCTGTCAACCTTAAAATTGATCTGCTAGTCAACTTTACTCTTCTGTTTCATTTTTTAATTATCAGCATATTAAAACAAAATAAGAAAATTCAAAAAATATGATAATTCAAACACTTCGAATAAAATATAAAATTTATATTATTTACAAAATATCATCATTAATTTTTTCCTTTCCTCTTCAAATTTCGAAATATTTAGCATAACCTTTGTTAAGATATCTTAACATGTTTAGGATTGCTTTTATGTACTTTCCAATGAGATAAAGATGGGGCAACTTTGCCATGGTAGCTGATCAGATAGTCTTGGAGGTTCAAGATATTTCACTGTAAAGGGCATTCTTGTAACCAAGGAATAATTTTGATGGTATCAGAGAAGAAACAAAAAGGCAATCTAAAAGGAATCTTTTCTTGGGCTGTCAAATAATTTCTTGACATGCAACTCCAGATTGATGAGCAAGCAAACATTACAATCAAATTATTATAAATTAAGAGGTTAGTGTTATTCATGTGACATTGTCCTTAGAAAGCAAGCAGGCTTTTACTTCTTTTAAAAAATGTGAACATCAAATTCCAAAAAAAATCAGCTCCTTTGATGGCAATGCTTTCAAAAGACAGCTTTATTCACCCACATGAAGTTGGAATTCTTAAACCTCAAAAGCCCAAAATTCCGTACCCTTAAAAGGGATTACAAATCATTTCTTGCTGATCTAACTGATGCTGGATTAGTACTAATCTAAGTACTAATTAAAAGGTTTCAAGATCAAAGACATGACTTTGGTAAATGGAGCCATACTGTTTCCACGTGTCCAAATCTCCTTTATTGTGTTCATCGAGAGCTTAATCTTCTTAAAAGTAAGAGATCGGGGAGTGAAAGAACATTGAAGACAGAGGAAAATTTGTAAGCAGACCAACATATTGTTGCATGTTTCCAGCTTTTTTTTTGGATGCAAAGCTGCAGAAATAAAGTAAGGTAGCATTGAAGTGAGAGCAATTACTGAGCTACTCAAGATTAAAGGAACCAAACTAGAGTTTATTAACTTTTGTGATTGATAATGGAGCTGCTGGTTTTGGTTCTTGAACACCGCTGGCTTAATTTCAACATGCTAATTAAGCCAAAGGCATAAAAGATCAGAGATAATTATCCTCAAAAGAGATATCAGGTAAAATGAAAGGAATATTTATGAGTTCAAAGCTTGTTGAATCAGATGAAAATATTTATGGCAGGAGTCATAATGATGATTTTAATTATGTTTTTGCAACAAAAGATAGCATATTCGATCCCAAGATAAGGGTGAAGCTATAGAAAACTATGGAGAAATAATCATGATTTTGCATATGCGTGGGGGAATATTTATTGCTTCACATAATTTGCCTCATGGAACTTTATTTCTTTGACTTCATTTTGGAGGCAACAAAACTAAGGAGTGCATCTTTCTTTTTCATTGAAGGAAAAACATACGGATGAAAATAGCTATTGTATTGGGGGTTTCAGAAGTATCTTTTATATAAATATATTAATTATAAATTTTGGAGAACCAAAACAAGCAAGTTTGCCTCAATGGGGTTTGATAATTGGGAACATGTTAACCGTGGTGTTCGTGGGCGTCGATTAATTTTGGTTCATTTTCTTTAACGTGGAAGAACTAATTAACAAGGGAAACGACTTGGGAAATTAAGGTCACACACTGTTTTCAAGATCAAGTGACCACAAGCATCAAATTGGAGGACACGCCCTCGTGTTCTAAACTGTTAACACTAGTCTATATATATTAGTTTATTAATTATATGCTCAAATTTATATATGCATGGTTAAATTAAAGATGATATGCTTTAGTAACTCTATGCAATAATCACTTGTGCCCATGTTACCTCAAGCTCTTGATTTTATGCATGCTCATGCTTCTTTGGGAAGCATGCTTCATTTGCGTTGCCCTTGCTTAATTGCTACTTTTCACCCCTCCTCCCTCTTACATCTACTGGAACTTCTAGCTACCCAAACAAAGTACTGTTTCTTGCACATGGTTTTGTTTAATAAGTCGATATCCCACTAGTATTTAAATTTATTTGGATAAATATGAAAGGTACAAGGAGAAAATGAAGATAATTACTATTAGGTAAACTCTATATTGTTCGAACAATTTGATTTTTGGCCATAAACACTATAAGGCTACATTTTGTAGGTAGGAAAATTAGAAGGCCGATGAAAAATGGTATTCTCTCAAGAAGAGTAAGCCATTTGGAAATTTGATGCAGCTCACATGTTGGATCCGAAAATTTTCCTTCTTTCCTACAAACTCTGGTGTAGCAAATGCATACTAGCGCTGAAAACAAGTCCTGTATACATATGCTAAGCATTTGTAATCGCCAATGCCTATTGCCTGACATATCTCGATCTGCTGTTCTATAGATCCTAATAGGTTGCCTGAATGGGTAATGGCAACGGCCCTAATGGAAAAAGGTGTCTTCCATTATTTATTTCAGAGCAAAATCATCTATGTATAACAATATATTCTATAAGCAGAAAGTAGCACGCCTTTGCAATGAGTTTTTTTTTTAAGGATAAGAAAAATATTGAAGGAAGAGAAATGTGCCTAGCTATGGATACCATAGGTATCCTAGGGAAGACAGTATTATTTTATCACATTCTTCCTCTTTGTATGTCATATTTTAATAAGCAGAAGACTGAATCTCTGACTCGGACCTTTTGCAAGTTCTGACCCTTTTGTCTAATCATCTTTCACTTTCCAGGGGCTCAAGCTCGTTTAAATATTTCAGAAATACCAGCTAATGTACTGATTATTCAATGACTTGCTTCAGCTTAGAAGCATGATCAGAATGAAGATTATAGAGGCCAAATCATACCGGTTTGTATTGAAAAATGCCAGAAAATCCTAGTCTTGCCATGAATCAATCGATTAGCATCTTTGAAGAGTCAAAAGTTTTAGAGCATCTTGAATACTTGTATAGAGTCTTGCCAAATACACTCAAGCCAGTCACTTGTCTTTTCTAAAATTCAAACGCTCTTATTCAAACTCACAAAAAGGAAAGGCTGCTATATACCTGCAAAGGCTTTGTGGTCCTGCAATAATTTTTCTGATTTCCATGACATTGTGCGTCAACCCCTAGCTCTTGTTTAAGGTAATTAATTAAGAGTCTTTTGTGAGGTTATGTGCAGGTACATGTGAATATGTGAAATTAATGTTGCAAACATCTTACATTGAGAAGAAAAACTAGTAAAAGAAACAAATTTATATTTTGGAAATTTATCTCTAACAATAAAATTTTTATATTTCACAAACAAGATTAAAGGAGGTAGACACATGTTTTCTACATATATAGTAGTGAATGCCTAATCTAATAGCTTAAACTCTTAGGTTTAGGTACGATTTTAAAAAATATATTTGTTTTTTAGTTCAGTGAACTCTTTAACTTGTTTCATTTTCAAACAAATTATTATTTTAGTTTTGTGGTATATTGATTTAAATAAATTCGAAATAAAGTGTCTTGGATACGAATACGTGTATTACATTGGTTATATGTTATGTTTTTAATTTTTTTTTATTAATTTTGAAATTTCAAGTGTTATATCTTTATAAATAATAAAATATTTCAAAAATGTAATACAATCCAGTAAAATAGAGTGAAAAATTCGTGTAACATAAGTTAAAGTTGTTAGGCATTCAACATATTAATTCTAAATCGGAGAATATATAGAATGTAATCATCTTAAATCTTGCTCCTCGTTGCATGCGCGGAGGCAAAGAGGGACGAATAAATATTTCCAATCCAGATACTATGGTACACTCTTGTCCCTGACTGTGGCTGATCAGTCCAACCCTTAAACCAAATTCAAACTTTGAAGAAAAGAATATTACCTTTTTTTCACTTTTAAATTGGATATCTGCTGATGTAGTTAATTTTTAATTGATGAGTTTTCCTAAGCACTGCATTTACACAGGAACAATATTTTATGTACGCAGGTGTCGGAACCCTAGCTCTGACTTGGGTTTGAACCCTCTATAAAACCCTTTACTTGCTTTCCA